ATTCAATATGCTTGTGAATAATTTTCTGAAATTGAATCCGAATATTTACTTGGTTAATATGAGCAAGAACAATAACAAACACTAGATTGTTAAGTGTGCGCGCAATGTATACAATGAGATTTTAATCGTTCTGACCAGTGGTAAGAACATGACCATGCCACGTGCAGATAACAGCGGAAACGTCAATCTTGTAATTTAATCACACAAATCCCGAGAAGTACGAGAACAGCGATTTATTTATGTAACCTTTTACTAGAAACACATTCACATAGCTTAAGAACCACGTATCACTCTGAATAATTGACGTTGTTTGCACGTCACACGTTTCACATGGTTACATTCTCTCCACACATTAGTTAAAAAGTGATTCATTTACAACATTGAAGTTACTTAGTACGTTCTTGCAGAAACACTCTATGCAACCGTGCGTGACGTCGCTGGCACGAAGAAACTAAATGTGGAATGAAAAGTCGCTTGATTTACAACGTCCAATAAGGATTTAAATGAATTATGGTTTTCGTACAGTATTAAAAACACGTTAGCAAAATGCGATGATTCACGAACCTGCCAAATTATGGTTTTGTAGGTCTATGGTTTATTGTATTTGTCACTTTTATATTTAGATTATTAACGCCCTGCTCTTATACGTGTCATTATATTTTTAACAATCTTAGAACGATGTCTTTAGACCAATATTTAGCAATCATGGCGGTGATGCTATTCTCGTGTCGATGTCGGTCATGTACTTATTCCAATTCAACAGACAGTTCCCCCAATAAAACACGATACTTAAATAAATTGCTGGATAATGCCAGAAGGTCGAATACAGTTACGATAATGACAGTCCACCGTCATCGCCTCGTTCAATCAAAAAGTATTAACATAGTGCCGTTGCTGATTTGGATTGTGTATTTAATCTTTAAATCTGTTTCATATATTGGCTGTTTGTTTTCAACAAGCGAATGCGTACACTGTCTTTCACGTCCAAATTCCAGTGGGATCACAATTTCATAAAGCACACTCTTGACCTAGTCTAGTAATGTTTTGTTGACAGAAATCGATTTGATCATTATTTAAGCTTCACAGGCATGAATTGACGTTTCCTGTGTGAGATTCACTCACCATCGTTTGACAGCAAAAATGTCACATCAAATTCCTGCTTGTGGCGCCTAGTTGTTTATTAAGGTGTACCGGTCACCAAGCACAAACTCCCACCGAATGGTTTCCACCCGCTTCATTAACTAATGAATTTAAACTCTTATTCAGAATAAAGTCCGTGACCAGGCATGCACGAACTGGCAGCAAACTGATATGAATGCAATTGATCGGAAAACTGTTATCGAAAAGGTCATGCATAAATCTGGCCGGGAGATGTCACTTCTCATCAGTCGACGCGTATATCAAAATGCTAGTTTTCCTTCAAATCACATTACTTTTGTTTCACAGATAGTACGTTGATTCAAATTGCGTAAATACGTAAACTATATTGCAATTTCTCTTTCAATATATATTTTAATGTTAAAGTAATTGACGATACAAACCTTTTTCCACTAATATGTCATGCCTATGCAGACATATTGGTGTGTTTACTTTGTCAAAGACACAAAAACAGTTTTTTGTGTCATTTGCGCCGAATAAAGAATCCACAATTATATTATGGGTAAATCAATAATATGTGTGAGTGACATGTCGTGCTGACTTCTACAACCGAATTGCACTTGGCATGAAATCAGACATAGTGTAATTAAACATATTTAGAAACCTCTAGGTAAATGAGCGTCCATAAATGTGTGCGATTAATGCAGCGCCTGAATATCAATGTCGTCATTTGCATAACTTGAACATTCTGCTGCTCACAAACTAGTGTCCGTAAAAATAACTCATGACACGTTTATAGTAACTTTGTAGTAACGTTCATTTTAACCTTCAAAAACACTCACATGAAGATATCTAAATCGATATTAGGTAACGCCACTTTGAGCAGAATGACATCATAGGAATAACACGTGGTTCTAATATATGCGTTGAGCTAGTTGAACATTCATGTTAAACCGTTCCTATTTTTTAGTTCATCTTCTTCAATTTGCAAGAGTTCAAACTAAGGTTAGCAAAGACAGCATGGTCACATTAAAATTCATTCAATGATTTTTATTTTCTTATTCAAAGTAAGGTCTTGGAATTGAAGTCCAACCAGCCAGTAAATTGATTATTTTTTATAAATTGTCAAAGATTTAATCGCATGAACGATCTATTCCACAACTCATCAAGAACCATTGTCAGATTTTACAAAGGCAATCTCTAAATTTCAATAACATGTATCTATAATGTTATCTTAGTTACCACCACCTCGATACGATTCCGTTGACATGAAGTGCATTTCTATTACCCACATTCAAACGATAAAATCACATTCCACGTAGGGGATATCTGTAACAAATTCATAATCTACAAAGCGAAGAAAAGTAGCAAGGGTGAAACCTTTTTTGTACTACTCTGGGTCGTGTCATGGTACAACATTTGTTATTATGTCTATCTGCTATCACGCGTGGGAATGATTTGCAATTCTGTATCACCTTTAAAACCAAATATACTCGATAAACCCATACGGTGCCTTGACAAAGGATCTCGTGACAAGGTTACACTAATCACACACGTACGACCAGCGTAGATTTTCCCTCACAACAATACACACTCTTAGATTTCTCCGGAGGCGCTACGATGAAAGACCGGCTTATGGCATTGTGGTTTGGCGAGAAGTCCAATAAACGGATTTTAGACGCATCAAACATGAAGCAGGAAACAAAATGAGGAATACAGATTAGTTTGTCCATGCAAATCCCACTGAATAATGAAGGAATCTATGATAAAGTATGCTCGAGTATAAACCGAAATCCAACACAGTATAATTTTATAGAATTAGAAAGGTCGTGTAGCAGATAACGTTTGATAGGCGTTTGTGATTCGATAAGCTTTGCTTTGTTATTTTCCTTAGTAATTCCTTTCCGTGAACCGCTGGTACACCAAGTCAATCTAATATATACACAAATTGCACATAACGTTAGATCGTTATCATGTGTATTTAAAAAAAATGCAATACCCTTGCCAAGCTTCTAGTAACATCTGTCTAATGTTTCCTTCCCTGAAAGGTGGCAATGTCATTCAAGCAACGGCTCCATGTTAATTCAATTTTTCGCTAGCAACTGATAAAGGCCTAGTAAGGGTTGCTTTAGAAGCGCCGCCCGTGATACAAGTTTATTTATTAGCCGTGAGAGAGGTTTCCTTGTAGATAAGTGACCACGTATGTGATCAATGTATTACCAGTGACGTTATTAGTACATAGCCAAAATTATCAGAAGAAAACTGTCTCCTGGGGGATTTGGTTCTATATTTGAATGCATCAAAACCATGGTAAACACAGTGTTGTACTTCAATGGGGATTTACGGTAAAATGTTGTTGTATAACACACAGTTGTATTTGTAACGCCGATAGTCAGTCTTACAATCAGCATATTCTCCATGACAACTGTTTCTGTTGTAACGTGATAGATAATCTGGACATAAAGAGCAGCGCTATGCTTGGCAAAGGGTCAAAGCAGCAATAATTCCAAAGTAAATTACAATTTTGGAATTACTAACTGTCCAATTCAATCATATCAAAATACTTGTTTATACAAAATAAATGTGATTTTATTCTGCAATTTACCAAATGGTCACGAACTGTGCGTGAACTATATTGTTAATTTTGATCTGGTCATGTTTTAAACAGTCTGACAAGCAGAAATAATCGGAAAATTAACAAAAATTGGAACACGAGCCTTTTTTTCACTGACATCGTTAAAAAATCCTATTTTCAGAAACCATTTCTGTTAGACCTGAAATATATAAATTCATTGCTGTTATACACATTATGACAAGCTAAAACCTCAACAAGAACAAATGATTTAGTTTTGAAGAGGTTGTTACCAACCCAATGCTAAATAAAAAAAATATTACATTTGATGAATGAGTTACGAGAAATGGTGCCCGGAAAAATGAAGTCCAACATCCAGACAAGCTTACATTAATGTGTGAAAGAACACAGCGTAGTAAATATTGTTCAGCCATCTAGAAAATTGATCGCATGAAAAGTTCGGTGCCTAAGGCATTTTCTTTGCCGCACGGTAATAATTAGGCATCTAAGCATACTACATAGAACACAGTCACGCGTGCCACGGACGGTCTTTTTAGGGTTAAATGCTCTTTTCATTAAATTGCGTTCGCTTACTGATTTGTTGTGACCTACGATTCAGATTTGTTAATAACCACGACCAAGTCGTAGTTTATTTTAACGTCCGCATCTCATATCACTATAATGATTCTAGTATGCTCAGAAACATATTGATATGTATTCATAATATGTGTAATTAACTTTAAAGTAGCAGTTTTCTTCCAATTTCCTGCCAAAAAAATCGCATAAATTATACTAGTTCTTTTCAAGGAATGCTCAAGGAATAATTGGAGAATATCAATGATAGTACAAGTACTGCTATTGGCTCAGAATGCACAGTCGCATATGTCATCCAATTTACAGTTATCTACTGATATTTCATGAACTTAATAATTTCTTGTTTAAATCTGTGCATATTAATCACCTAACTTGCATATCAATCCATACAAAAGTAGTGCAGTGGTACTGAACCATCGTCTTGGTATTCATACTTCAGCACTTGATATATCAGTGTAATGGGGTTTTATCTTGACAAATGGCACTAACAAGTCAGCATATGACTTTAATAGCCAAATAAATATGCCTTTCATCTCTTCTACGGCTCATTCTGAATATTTGTGTTCACGTATACATATTATACACTTCCTGTTCGTCTAATGCAATCCGTACTTTCGATTTCAGTCTTCATATACGAAACGTATTTTTTTAATCATATATTATTATGTCTGTCTAGCTACTTCAACTTTTAAACAGACATCCTGTTCACCAAAATATGTACTTTCTTTATCTATAGGTACAACAACTTTACGTCATAATGCTACATCAGTGGCAGAAACAGCGTATGATGAAAGTATAATAATTAACTATGAAAACGGTCACTGGAGCCTGCCGTATTTTGACTGTGGTGGTGGCAATATATGGATGATGACTTACACAGTGCCTTTCCTGGGCTATAAAAACAATACATATTTTTTCAAGTAAGTTCAATATCGCAACAATGTGATACACGACTGTTTATCGTTGAATTTCAACAGAATGTTGGATTGTCTGGGTATGATTGATTGCATATTTCTCTGAGGGAATGTCCAATTACCAATTGTCCACCTACAGCTATCATTATAATTGGACAATTAATTGTATTGCGCGTTCAAACAGACTTATTATTCAGGAATAACAATGTCGCATCCCCAGGTAAAGATGAAGCAGTACTCTGACACAGAATAGTACTGTAATAGAATCAAACCAATGAAAATCACGGCAGCGAAGTGAGTCCGCCTAATTTCCGGAGATGACATTAAGTTTATGTGTTCTGAATGATGAAATGTTTCCATTTCCTGTATGTGATATATCCTACATTTCCTTCAAGACATGTGTACTGAATGCCAATCAATGGAAATTTTTGGTTCATTTTATTTTGCTGGTTCTTCTCGGTAGTGATGTTACACAGTTGTCAGCCAATTGATGAACAATGTTGACCAGTCTGTTACGTGTATAGTCAACTTGAATGATTTTTTTGTTACATTAAACTCAATGAAATTCAATTTCCCATCATGGAAATCAATGGTAAGATTGCCTTTCAAGTGTGTGTACTGCCACGAATCGTTGGTCACGACACAAGTTTCGGTTTCTATATGCTGCAAAAGTATCATGTAAGACTTTGATGAAATACAAAAGTCGAATATTTTGTGTGTTGACAAATATTGCAATGAAGTATTTATATTTATGACTTATACTAGTGTTTTTCTCTTTATTTGCCCTTATTTTCGAATCTCAATAACAGTAAATTAAAACACTATAGGGTTTGAAAGTGAGTTTTTGTTTTAATTCGCTGCTAATCCAGGGCCCTGTTTTGAATTCAACAGCCAGCACATATTTCTTTTTGTCTGCTAAAACAAATGGCACTAGTATGTTAAAATTTCTTCGTAACTTGATAAATACCAAATCGGAAAATTGGATTTGTACACAAAAGAAACACTTGATTGAACCTGGAAATTCTAACTTCCGCCCGAAGATATTATTATGAATTTATTACTTATTTGATATTCTGACTTGTTGTCTAGTTTAGATAATTATTGACAGAGAGGTCCACAAAATTATCTTTGTGATACCGACAATAAAAGTTATAATAAGTGTATAATCATACAAAATGTATTTAATAATAAGTCGTCGATGAAAAGGTTTGCACGTCCACAGTTTCATTTACGTGCATTCAAAGAAGGGGGTGTTTTTCCTACATGTGAGTCTCAAATAATTACTAGTTGAGTGATTGCTGATGTGAATGATGAAGATAGCGGTGCAATGTGAAAATCGTTGGATATTTCGGCATTTCTTTGTAAGCTGTGATTTATTATGCTTAGCCGAATCCGTGGTTTCATTAAATCTTTACAATTCGACCGACCACTTTTGAATTGAAATGCTTTACAGCGTGTTCACAAGAAACACCTGCTTGTTACGCTTTACTCATGTTTCTTCAAAAAATTATCCAAGGTTAAATTATGTAAAAGAAGCCTACTACACGTCTGTAGTGCTCTTGTATCTTCTTCTATGATGTACCTGCTGCAGAAGTATGTCTACAAAATCTATTAGCTTTTGTGAGATGACCTAATCACATCGAATGTCTAGGAACTCACTGTCAGATAGTAAACTAGATCTGCTATTCCATTTTTTAATATATGTTACATAAAACGTCTGTTTCAAAATCGTAATCATTAAATCTATACAAATCTGAACTTATGACTAAGAAGCAGTATACGTATGTGGCCTTCTTAAATTATTCGTGTTATCTCGTTGATTGCCTTCATTGGGAGATCATTAGGAGGGGTGTCTGTTCTGAAGAACTTCGCATAGCGCCAATGGGTTTAACTATTAAAGCACGTAGACACAGTAAAGACACGTCTCGGCGTTCATCCAAAGGTTCACTTGTCATTTGAGTGTATTCGTGGCTGATCCGTCAAATACTCACTGTCAACATAATAGTTTCAACCATTAGTTGTTTATATATTAAATGGTCAGGGGTTTATTGCGTTATTCTCCATAGTCTTGTATTGTGCATTCTGGTCAGGCAGGTTCAAATAACACATATAATAATGCGTCTATGCATTCATTTCTATAGAAGGAATCTGTGAATGTGTACTATAGGTATACATACTACACCATGTTATCGATGACATCTAACCGTATTCTCTGAATGCCCCGTGGTAATACGTGTGATAGATAATTCGTCTCAAAATATGTAATATACACGTACAATAAACACTCAAAATGGATATGTGTGTTGTCTTAGCCTGGAGGAATAGAGGACATATACTCTTTTTAAATGGATTTTAAGGCGAATTATTGAAAATATAGATGAATTATAGAAGTCTGGGTCGACTAAGGTCAATCTCCTACTTAGAGAAATATAATTACAGGAAGCCTTTCCGTCGAAATACTATGTGAAGCGTTGCTTTATTTACTTGGATTAGTTCAGGAAAGAAATCATTCAATATTTTTTTTTATTAATTCTCGAACATAACAGTGCTGAATCACATTAGGCCATTATAAATTTGTTGTTAAATTATACTGCGTCAACGTTATTGATTTACGTTACCCCGTGGCGCATGACATCCACAGAACCGTGTTTCTGAAGCAACTGATTGATTTTCATCATTCGCTGTCTAGCTACCGTTGTGTTTCCCGTTTGATCGTCGTCGTTATTCGATACAGCGAATTCTTATGTTTACAGCGCCGACTATAATAGACCGAGTGTCAGTATTGTTCCCAACGCTCGTGTCATTTCTCGATTACCACCAAGTTGGTGTAAGTGAAATTGACGATGTATATAGTGCATACCAGTAGAAATTAGAAACCACAAACAAGTTGACGACTGGCTATATGTACTTTAAAATTGAATCGTGTTTCTGGTGACTAATAGATGAACGGCTGCTGTTATAAAGGTCGTTTAATTATTTACCATGCATCTACAATATACTATTGTTGCAGCCAGTGCGGCACAATATACGGGGTCTGGTTTCAAGTGATTCCCGGGAAATTGCTCATTTACGAGCCATAATTCTTGTTTAGGGTGGTGCCAATTTCGATTTGGTTCCCGCGCATGGCTTATATATCTGCAATCTAATATTGTAAAACAGATCCCTGTGTGTGTGTGTGTGTGTTTTTCCAGATCGTCACGAGGTGTTTTCATATCGTGATGTATGTATATACGTTGTGAAATATTTATGTGTAGATTTTATTCTGCTCTAGGGTCAGATATCTAGGTCAAGTGGAACATGCACGTATCCATTTCCCGCAATTGTTATTTGTTACGCATTTGGTGTATATTTGCCTGTGTAAATAATAGCAAGTATATAATAAAAACAACTTAATTCATTTCATACAACGCTTACGTAGTATAGAAAACAAATGAGGATAACATGGCTTGCTGGTGATTGGAATTGATTTCGTTAGGCACCTATCATCATAAATTGAAATGACGTCTACAATTTGATGGCGCTTAACATCCAAAGTGTTTTATTCGTTAATTATGAATAATTGTTTATGATTACTGGAATAAAACGGCAATTCATCATAACACTGGAAAATATTAATAAATTGAGTAGTCATGATTTTTATAACGAATCATAATTATGACTTATAAAAAAATTGACATATTATTATTAATAGAATGACGTCATAGAAATAGCAAATTGTCATTATTCAAAAATCATAAAATTGCATAAGGTGTTTTGCATTGTTTGAACGCAATAAGTTATAATGCAGTAGAGCCACAGCGTTGATGACATATTGTAACATTAATTAATATTAATTAGCAACAAGCTAAGCGTCAAATCACGACATTAATCGCAGCGTTAAGTTTCCTCATAATTATTTTTAACCGGTTCAGTGCCACGTCATATTGAGTTCATTATTATTTGTATTAACATGTCATCACAATCACTATTATATATCGATATTGTATATTAACCACTGCATAATGTGTCGACTGACATATATTGTCGATAGAGGGAGTGTTCCATGACTATTGATTTGGAGATGATAAAATAACAAAATAGTAGGCTACTACAAGCAAAAGAAATTGTCCATTATCACATCTAAATAACGGTTCTTCTAGTAACCATGTCTAAATCTATCGTGCAAAATGCCCACGCAATGCACGGCTTACTAGCTTGTCTCAAAAATGTTTTACACAATGACTTCATGAACGTCATCGTCGGTTGGCAAGCATGTGATTATGAAAGTCATTGATCGAGCGACAGTATCGACAAGATATCCATACTTCCCGACACGTGGGCATTAATGCACTAATCGCTGAGATGAGGAACCGGCTGAACAAATCAAGACGTGCCAATCAAATATTCTCTAAGTTGCGCTGTTTTTGTTTGTTTTTTCTCATTGGACATTTTAAAGTAGTCAATGCCACTCAAACTGTTTTCTAACCTCAGACCCCATTAAAAGCTGTTCGAGCTTTTTATGTTTCACGTGTAATGGATAGAAGTGATTATATCCTTTCTTCGACTTTACAAGAGCCTGTCACCATGAGTCTCTCCGGGCCACCAATCTAATTTAGCGACCGACTTGTCTTTAATAGAAATAGTAATCGCCACTCCGGCATCAACGCAATTAAAACGTCAAATCACGTACGTATTTCACTTGATTGCCTTTATTGTCGGTTATCTCTCTGATTGCCGGCTTCCTGAAATTAGTCCCGGAAGACCAGAAAATAATACCCTAGATAATAAGTTTGCTGGCAGTAACAATATATTTCGGCGTAATAATGTTATCATTTGTTGCACAATTACTGCTATCAGCTACTTCGGACGAATCGTAATGAAGATGAAGACGTAACTAAAGAAACATACAGACGTACGCAATAATGACATCTGTATCTAGACGTTGCATAACAGTTATTTCATACGAAAGCCAGGCACTTCATTCTTACAATTCATATTTGTTGAATTCACTTGATTCGTTATTTTATTCTGTATGTATATGTAGTATTCTTACTATGAGCCACGATATAGGATTATGTGGCAGATAATATAACAATTAATTTAAGAGAGACTGACTGTTAATTATGAGAAATATTGATGATTACGTCAACACATGTATGTACAAAGCGAAATATTTGCAGTGCCATGTATTGAGTATAAAGATGCCACACTTAGACACCTTCCAAACGTTATGATGTGTATATTATATGCTCTATACCTTCGAAAGTAAAGAAATATACATTCACGATTTCCCCCCCCCCTCCCCCCGTAGTGGTATCTTGCTATGTGTTGGTATTTCCATTAGTAATGGCACTGAGTTGACATATTTCATTTTTTCCCTCTCGGGTAGTATAAATTATTGAAAAATAAAAATCATATTGTGTATGTATTGAGAGTGCTCTAAATAAACCATACGACTATATAGTCACGTGGGGATATCAATTATTGCACCCCCTCTCTTGGCAGGCTTTTAAAGCCGCAGAAGTGGTTTGTATGCCATTACATTGCTGGAAGAGAGTGTCAGCCTTTGACATCCATATTATGAACTTCTGCCAATCATAACGTGGTTAACGTGGTCGATTAACGTCGTCTTTTTTTTCTTGTTTTTTTTTTCTTTTGAGCAGCTGTATCATAACAGATGACCGAGCGCAGGGTATTCATATTATTCGTCCGTTATCGTATCGCCTGTGTTATCTGTCACCTTCTTTTGTTTTCGAATTCAACTTTCAAAATCAGTCATTAAGCTTTCCTATTGGTCTGGTGCTTTTTTTCCCGCTCCAATATTATTCATTTGATGACGTTTTCTGTGATGAGCATTGACACATAGCTAATTGAATTAGTAATTGATATGTATATGTATGATTTGCGTGGCATGAATTTCTGTTGTTTAATCACTGGGTCAGATTCATCATGTGTATCAAAGAGGCCGATAATATAATTTCCATAGTCAACAGTATTAATGTTTGGCCAGATATTAATAATGTAACAGTTTCGTTGAGTATAAAGATTGTCGGTTTCACGCAGACCAGTTATTCACAA